CCTTTAAATAAAATATTCCCATTGATGACATCTACAGCAAACATTTACAGAGCTAACAAACACAGAAACTATTGTCATTCCACACAGAAAGGTACAACCACCAAAGATTTCTGTTTTATTTGGAGATGTACCAGATTACTTCCAGGAGCACTTATGCAACACCAAATCTTACAGATGATTTTTTTCACCTTGTGTTTGGTACAATATTTTTTTCCCCCCTTCATTTGCTTTTTTCTCTCTGCAAGTTATGCATGTACAGACAGAGGCCTAAATCAGAGCTAGCTGAAATCCCATCAGAAACTACCTGTTCTGAGTAACACAGTGTAATGTAAATATTACAACACTGATTATCCACGGCCTTGCATTTCTGTATCGGCACGTGGCTGCCAGGCTGCTGCCATCCCAGCACTACCAGGGCTCCCTTCCCTCTTCCCACGGGGCAGAAGCATTTCAAACCATCTCATTCCTCTCTGACCAGTGCTGCTAACTTTATAACTGGTGACAGAAACTTCATCGAGAGGTTTCTGATTCAAGCCTGAATAATATTTTACTACAATGTTTTCTTGTTTGTGTTTCAAAAAAATTCTCTGCTGCTCTGCATTTTTGTGTGTGTGTCCCAAATTTCCGTTTATTGAGTTGCCAGTCATACACCACTGCTTTCTAGCACAGCAGGGGAAGTGGAATGGTCAGTGACTGAAAGGGAACTGACTCTAAATTACCTTCTCTCCGCCAGTGGGTCTCTAAGGCAATAGGCTAGAAAAGGAAGAGCCAGTTTTTACACTTTTCTGAATAAAGATATTTTAATTGCCTAACAATCCCCTTACACAGGACAAACTTCTAGTGTTCTTGTGCCCAGTTAATGGACTCCACAGAACGGTATCAGTAACAGCTATTTTGCTCCTAGCCTGATAAAGGGGCTTATAATGCTAGAGTTGGTGTCTTAGAACTTTATAGTAATGTACATAAACCAAAACTTCAGCAAAATCCCATAATGCCATGAACCAGATGTTCACAAAAACCTCACAAAGGCACTTTTATAGTTACCTTTCACGAAGAAGAGCTGGAACAGAGATATGTTGCAAAGTACCTTAAAAAAAAATCAAGCTCCAAATTGAGAAAAAGATAAGAAATTGAAAAAAGAAGTCTTCTTGACTAAAACTGACTTCTATGATTTGTCCAATGAATAAAAGGTGAATTAGTCTGTGGGGCTTGGTGCCTTTTCTACTTGTTTTTTTTTATACAGTTTCTTACATGATGAGAGCAAGGAGTGGAGAGAAATTCAGCTCCTGAATGTTTTCTCCCCTAGCTGTAAAAGAGCAGGTGTGAAGTGTGTTACAGGTCAGCCTGCAGCCATCATCAGGAAGAGGCTTTCACTTCCCTTGCACTGCTTTTCTCCCTTCTAAGAAGCAAACCAGTGATGCTTGGGGGCTGCTACACTGCACAGGTAAATCTGCTGGAGAGAAGTCTACAAACCTCCTATACCTGAAGAGAACAGAAAACTTATTTTCTAAGCTAAAACAGAAGTAACAAACACTGGGAAATTTGGGAGTGTTTCTGGTTTATCTTGTAAATACTTCTGGATTTTTTTTGTGCACAGCCTTGTGCGTAGCCAAGTGCAATATGCTGAAAGCTAGCTGGATAACAGCATGCTCCACACTTAGGACATAGGAACAGCATGTTTTTGTTTACTTATTCAAATAGCAGTAGGGGTGAGGTTGCTCAAAAAACAAAACAATTCTACTAAAAGGAACTTAATTTTGTTTAAGTACACTCAGCATTTTGTGATTCATTTAGCCAGCCACCTATGAAAATGCTACATTTGTTTAGGGTTTTTTTAATTAATGCACATTATTTCACAGTTAACTTTTAAAATATAAAAAGAATAAGAACAATTTTCAAAAGAAGAGAGTGTTCTCACTGTTCAAATCAATACCAGTAATAAGTTTTTATCTCCAGGTGGAGCCTCTCATAGCTTCAGTTGCCTTGTCCACATTACATTACTGCATTTCACAAAACAGATGTTCACAGACCCCCTTGGCTGGGTTGCCTCCATTGCCTCCTGCTGACAATCAGGATGTCAGGGAGGTAATTTCAGAGGGAGGACAGAGGGGGCAAATATAGATTACAATACCACTATCCCAATTCAGTATTACACCTACAGGTTGGTAATGATTTACTGCCTTATATGAGGATATTTCGATTGCAGTCTCCTAACTGATGCAGCTGTTCTAAAAGCTTGTCAGAAAGAGCATTTTGGTCAGCATGTCTTTCCTATGGGCTTGAGATATTCATTTCTTCATCCTTACTGAAACACAGGTATTTCTACTTCCACCCAACCTATATGTCTGTTGTGACAAAATGCACTATCAAACCAGTGTCTGCCCATTGTGAGATTGTCTTGCTCTAACATTGTTCCTTGATGCTTTCAAGGATGCAACAGAAAATGTGTATTCCCTTGCAAGGAAAAGTTCATCTCACAAAAGATTTTAAATCCAAAAAAAGCACACCATTTGGAAAAAAAAAATCCTAACACATTATATGAGAAAGTGGTAAAATGGTTAGCTGAGAACACATCTTCATGGATGGGCATAAATGGAAATCTCAGTAACAGGGGTGAACTCTGCTCGGTGCATACACTGCCAAGGCTGCTTTGGTACCTCAGCATTTGCTAAAGGGAAATTTCTGCTTTGTATTAAATGCCCAGATTCACACAAACTTTTAAGTTTGAAAAGAAATGAATGGGTCACCCACCCAAAAACCTGGAAAACTACAAAGTTGTCAACTTGGAAAGACACTTCTGAAAGTGGATGTGCTCTGATCATCACAAAAAAGTAAGCAAAACCACTTAAGAACAGGGAATGATACACTGCTTTAAGTAAAACATGATGCCATTTCATGCTGTTTACCCACCTTCAATCCAGGTACCGTGGTCTTTTTCATAGCCTACATTTCATTTAATTCCAAATTCAAAGACACCTTGTACTTTAAAAACAGAACCCAGTAGAACTCCTCATCCGACTGGAAACAATCATGTATGTTTATTTTGTCATCAGTTCAACCCCATATGGTTCTCCCATCTCTAAAGTTCTGCTGTGTCCTGCCAAAAATCACTTGCAAGTATCTTGTGACAGTCTAATGGGAACAGAAGTGCTGATAACAGTGAAACACCAGGACAGCTTTGCTGAGGTTGGAATGAATTGCAAGCACCCTACTTGTCCTAGAAGTCAGATTCTTGTACTGCCCCCATGTACCCCATGCTAGCCTTCTCTATCAAATCTGATAAAGTAAATACTCTTAGCTTTCTCTCCCTCTTCATTCAGCACTAGGGATTTCCCCCCAGTACTTTAGTCCAAAAATCTTACTTTAGAACACAGACCCTTCTTCCTAGGGGATGTAATTAGACTGCTTGTCAAAACCATTAAAAATTGGGCTGTCTTGGAGGTGGTGGGGAAAGACTGCAGAGAGTAGCATATGATTCAAGAACAAATGTTCAAGTGCAAAAGATACATAGGCCATGACAGTTGAGAATGATGAATCTGACTCTTCTGCTCCATCTTACCTGAATAATTACCTTACCATGTTTCAGGAAGAGAAGACAGATTAACAAAGCTTGGCCTGTTAAGAGGTCCCTTTAATTTACACCAAAACAAGTATTTTCTACACATACTAAATCTGCAGACTCACTGATCTCCCTTAGGGAAGTTAGCTTCTTCAACTTCACCATTTCCAAAACAAAAAATATCCAAGAATTTGGATATTTCTAGATTCTCAGGAATACTCTTTGATAGTGCTGGAATTGAACTCTGCTTGCACCAACTTCCAGTTATACTAGAGGCTTATCTGTGTAGTTGAGCAAGAATTGTTTTCACTCTTTAGATATCTCTGTATGACTGATGAAGTGGGGCACCTTAGGAAACCCCTTCCAACAGATGACTGTAGACAGCAACTGGATACCAAACACAATAAGAAAAATTCAACACCTAGAAATGCCCCAAAGTACTCCTCTCTATGGCAAAAATATTGTAACAGTGCCAGAAATCACCACACTGTCATTCATCCGTTACCTTAATTACAGAAGGGGGACATGGAGGAGGAAACCAAGAGCTGGGATTAGTGGAGGCAGGCAAACTCTGAAGGTAAAGAAGGAAGTTCTAGTACTAGCAGAGTCATATGATGGTACTTCTGGAGAAACAGGAAAAAGCAGTCAACTGTAGATTTCAAGGCAATAAAGGAATTTGGCTTTTTCCCTTAGGAAAGGAAGAATTGACCATATGGTGTCATTTTCCTCTAGTTTTTCCTACCGTGTGACTTTCCAGAGCTCTCTATCCTAGTTAAAGTCTGCTAATGTTTTTCCCAACCAGGCACACTAATTTATGTAGTATACAATTCAGAGTACTTTTTCTCATTTTTTTAACTACAGAAATTCACCTATTACATATTTTAAATTTCAAACCATAATTTTTAAGGTGAAATTTTATTTTGTGTTTTTCTTAGAACTGTGATCAACTTACCTGACAGTCCTAGAATCTCAGAGCTAACTTCAGGGCTACCATGATTGTGCTTTTCTTCTTTAACAACACAGTCTCAATTTGTGCATCTTTAAAGTCCTTATATATTTTTCTGAATGGCCTGCTAGGGGTTTTTTGAATGTGTATGGGGGTTTTGGGTTTGGAGGGTTTTTTGTTGTGTTTTTGTTTTCTTTTTTTGTTTTATAAGTAGAGGATTTTAATATTTAAAGAACAGCATATTTGTTTACTTAACATTATAGTCTTCCTTCACAAGCCCAAATATGAAGAATGCAAGAACACCTAAGTCACAGACATTCCCATGTCAAATTCCCTTCAAAAATAAACAACGGAGAAAAAGACAGATCTTTCTCTGAAACAAGCAGTTAGATGGCTGATGTCATGCTTCCCTCTACTGTTTATCACAAGAAGCACAGTTACTGGTTAACATTCTGAACTTTTCCTTAAAAAAAACCAGAACAATGTACAAGTGAATCTTTATTCACAGGCAAAACTTAGCCAATAACCTAAATCAAAGTTTTATTTTCTTTATTAGAAAAATAGAGGCACTGAGCAGAACCATCTGCACTTATCTCAAGCTCAATATTACAGAAAGTATCAACTTGAACACTAGTGTTATCGCATATTTTTGTTACAGTCCTTTAAAGTCAACTTCAAGGAGGCAAAAGGCTTCAAAGACTAAAGCTTTGTTATGAAGAGTAATAGCATGGCAAGAACCAAACGATTATCATGGAAATAAGCAGTCATGTATGTTACAAATATAGTGTTATGTATGTCACAAAAAAATGTGTTTTGTATGTCACATCATTGCTTTCAAGAAATGAATTCCACAGATACATTAAAACTGTCTAAACAGTAGAGGTCTTTATTTCCATCAGACAAGTTAACACTTCAGTTAATGTTACCACCTTCCAACATTTGGGAGATATGTAAGTTAATGACTTAAAAAAGTGAAATATACCCCCTTCCAAAAATATACTGAATTTTATACTGTCCCTCTGATGAGCCATTTACATTATGTGACATCACATACAGTCTTTCAAGACAAAATAATTTATGAACTGCTTTTCAGCCTCTCATTTGTGAGCCCTCAAGGTGTCAAAGGAAAGCAGGTTTGTACATGCTCTGCTGCAACCTAAGTACATGGATTTCAAAGGGATCTCAATTTAACTTGGGGAAAAAAATCCAGAGAGGTCCACAAATCAGAAAAGGTACAAAATACTGTATTGGAATAAACACTCAAACTTTACTGTCCTGGAGGGAGAGTTAATGCTAGTTTAAAAGCAGAAAGTACTTTAGTCAGTATTTTTCTGATTTTAGTAATTGGGCTTTTAATAATGCTGTTATTAGTTGTTTCCAATTAAGAACAAGTTAAAGCTTGCAGACTAAAAAATAAACGACAATCTCCCTTTGCCATCTAATAGCAAGTGTGAATAACATCTTTACTACAGAACTCTTCATACTCTTCATGTTGATCAGAGGTTTTAATCAGAAACAGATTTTCATTTTAGTGTTGATTAAATAATTAAAATTTTAGTACACATCTTCTTTAAAGTTTTTATTATAGAGAAGAATCAGCCCTGCAAAACCAGCTGGCATTCTCTTCCTGTTGCAATTCATGACTAGTGAAAAATTGCAATCTTAAACCCCCTGTTATTACCAAGCTTCCTCACAGTCCTTTGAAGAAATGCATTTAGCCACATAATGGTTGCAAATTTATTTTTGAGGGGGGCAGAGAGATGTTAAAGTGTCTCATCTAATAAGGAAAGGAAAGGCAAAAAAATCAATGACTAGTTTTCACAGTAAAATGCATCAGCTTTGTAGTTTCATTTGAAACCAAGAACAAATCATGAAACGTCATGAAAATAAGATAAAAAAAAATCTCCTAGAGTGATTACTAAATGAAGTTAAAATTACCACACTAATCAGTAAACCCCAGAAGAAAAGCAGATGCCTCATATATCACAGGTCTTACATTAAACAGTATCATTTTTTTAAAATAAATCCATAAAATCTGTATGTTTGGCCACTTTGCACATTTTTCCCCTAAAAAATACAGTGTACAGAAAAAAAATCTCGTAATTCCCAGTATGAATTCAGAAGTATAAGGTCAAAACCCAGAAATTAAAGATCAGCTAAAAGGATTTTAAATTATTTACAAATCCAGTAGACAGAACTACCATAATGGCTTCATTTCCATCCTTGTAGTGGCTTTCACTCTTACCCAGCAGCATCTGCAGTAGGAATCTCTTCAGACAGCTTCATCACTGATCATCTGTCATTTTAAGCATTTCTAGAAGAGCCCCAACAGCTCCAAAATAACCCTTTGAACAAAGACAAAAGAAAACAAAAACCAATCAAACTCCAAAATAAGACAAAACATGAACATAAAGCTTTCAGTTCTATTAAGGCAACTAAGAGAATGTCAGCCCTGCCAAATATTTGCTCTGTCTAAAATATGATTCAATAAGATCATCCTTAGGTAGAAGAAAGGGCCTGTCTCACATAGTTCCCCAAAATTATATATTAAAAAAATAAATAAAAAATTACAAAACCATAATACTGATGCTGTACTGAGGCAGGGAAGTTTCCATTATGGACCTGTCATTCTGGTAGTCACCTCAAAATTATGCTTACAAAAATGAATGATACTCGAGGTTTTCATACACCAGCCCATGCAAATGAACACTGTTGCTATCAGGGTCAGAGAGCAAATATGAGAAAAGGGCAGTGTTTAATAACACACACCACACAGTCAGTGATCAAACCCAGGAGTTAACAAGTAGTATTTTTAAACAAATTTGTAAACTAAATAGCATTTATGCAAAACTTAGCTTGCAATTCAAAGCAATGGCATGTCTCCCCCTTCAAATTCACCAAATAAAGAAATACAAGAATTTTGTACTTACAAATAAAAGTTCAACACATATTTCCTTACCTCATGTTCCAAAAACAGAGCTTTTAGCTGTCCCTTGGACCAATAATCCATAGCATATGCTAGCACCTTCATAGAAATCATATTAATTCTGAGAAAGTTGCCAACAAACACCACCTTGTCGATGTTCTGCAAAATTGAATTTGAAAAACATACCAGAAAAATTATATTCAGTTAAATTATTTGTCTCATTTAACATGTACCTCTGCCTCTACTATGAAGTTAAATGGGAATTTTAGGCTCTATTTAAATACTTCAAACTGGAAAGTCAAAAAATACTGCAGTAACTGACTGCTAAGTAAGAGAAATTGCAAGAGCAGGGAGGTGCAGAGTCATATTCCAAAGAAAGTGAGAGGCTATTATCATAGATAATCAATATTTGCTTAAAATATTGAATAAATATCACAACCTTCCCAACATGACTCAGATTATGAGTTTTGGTGGTGGTTGGTTTTTTTTAATTGTATATGGCTACAAAATGACATCTTCCCTCCCCTGCATGTTAAATGAAACAACTTCCCCGAGATCACTATGATTATCAAATCCAGATGAAGAACCTCTGAAGGATATTTGAGAAGGATTACATTAGAGATGGGAAAGAGCATCTTTCATTATCAATTATCAGGACTATGACTCCATTTTCAAAAATCAGGTGAAATGGGGCTATACATAAGACTTGATATGTATGCCATTCCTTTGTTTCAAAGCTCATATAAGCTCAGTTTTCTTTCAGGAAATTAAGATTTTTTTGAACCATCAGCATTAGGCTGCCAATGAGAAAGCCACAGACCATCCTTACTTGTATGTACATCACTGCAGCAAGCAGTGGTTCTGTGTGGTGTTTAAACAATGCCCATAACTACCTTACCAAGCCCAGTTCTGCCTTTTATGCATGGAATTGCACTTGCATTTTGCAAGTGTACCAGATGATGCTCCCCAGACACTAGAATTTGTCTAGAAGATTCAGTAAGAAGCTACATCCTGCAGATAAAAGTTTTTACAGGAGTCTGGAAGAGCCCTAGGAATGTATCCTTAAGAGTCCTCTGCAGAAGTTTGCCAGAAAGGCGGCACAGGGGCTAGAATTAGCAAGAATTACCCCTCTATATTGATCCAGCTCTAAAGAGCAACACTTGGCTCTGCAGCAACTCCCGTGCTACAGCCACAGTTGTGCCATGTCCGGGGCCAAGCCTGTGACACACCCCAGGGAACATCCTCACTGGAATTCCCAGTGCTGGAGAGAGCTGATCCCCAGACACCGTAACTCATTCACCCACTCTGCTGACTGAGTGATGGACATGCCTGACTGTCCTCAAACCAAACACAGCCACACAAACTTTATTCAATAATTTAGCTTCAGTCATCTATCTCCTTAGACTGCAGTCACATCAGTAAGCATTCATACTCGGGAATTTATGAGTGAAAATAAGAACTTCTTAAATTTCAAAATGTTGCTATGGAACATGGCCAAAAGCACCCTGCATCCTCAGATAAGGCAGTTTTATCTCTGAAGCAACTTCAGACAAAGGAGTAACAAATATGCAACTAATTAATTTCCTGTAATGCCACAGCATAAAATTGATTAGAATCTACATTTCAATTCCACGTGCGCATGATTTTTTCTGAAAATAAAAACAAAGCTACTGTTACCAGAAGCAATACCTAAGACACAGTATAAAAAATACTGCAAATTTTAAATCTAATAGTACTAGTTATATCTACTAGAATAACAGTGTATATTAACATGCAAATCTCAATTTTATTTCAAACATTTCTTGAGCTGACAAGGATAAAAACTGTATTAATAGTACAAAGTTTCCTAGATTTTCTGAACTGAACTAAAAACAAGTTTAGTGTTTTTCAGAAGTCAAAATGCTACTCCTTAAGGGAGTCTTGTCAATTTACTTTTAAATTGTCCACTGCTGAAACTTTCAAACCTGAAAGACAAAAATCTTAAACTGCTGAAGATATGGTGGTGGCATGCTTATTTAAGCTAATCAAATTACAGCATCCTGGAAAAGACATGCACTCTTTCACTCTGTGGGGTCTTGTAAAATTGTTCAACTTACCCTGCAGGAAAAAGCTATAGTATAGCTTTAATGTAGTATATTCACATATTTGCCAATATAATTGAATTGGGAAATCTATAGCAATAACACAATAAACAACCCTACACGTATTTTCACAATGCAGCTTGTCCAGATGCAAACTTACATGTTCTGCGAATAAGAAAAGTATAAACGGGAGATCAGTTTCCTTTATGCAGATCTGCTGTGCCTAGGACAGGCCATTTCAAAGGGTCTGTGGTCAAATGGTTCCAGACTATGGAATTTTTCTACCCCACTGCCAACTTTGTGCAAGAAAACTTGCTTTGAAGTTCTGCAGACAGAATATTTCATTTATTCCCCAGCCTCGTTTTTTCCTGCACATATGCAAGTCATTTTCAACACAATATTAAAGCTGCAATCATTGGGAAAGACTTATCAAAAGTCATGCTTCAGGGCATAAATTGATTCTGTCAACCTAAAAGTGAGCTTTACCATAACCCTAATCTAATACATACAAGCTTCACAAAAGAATATCATATTCAACTGTTCATTTAGCTCTTATTTGAGGATTTGATTCAGCAGGCTTGTTGTAAGTCAGAGCCATTTCTCCCAAAGGCAATTTAGGTGTCCAGATTATTTAGCAGAATGATAGCATTATGTTTTTTTTCCCCAAGAGCAAGCCATCTGAAGATTAGCTTACTTGAAATGATACTGTATGCTTTTCTTTTTAATAGTATGTAAAGTGACTAAATAAAGTTTTCATTCTCTACAACTACACAACGATTTACTTCAAATGTTGGAGAAATTCTGCTTTGACACTGGGAAATGAAGAATATTCAACACATCAAGTTCACATTCCTCCACAAGATTCTATGGATCACATCAGTTTTTAAGAGGCCTGCCCGCAGAACAAAGATGTTAGGAGCTTTTTCACAATGACTCAGAAGCATTTAGTTTCATTAGCAGCCTATCTCCTCCTCTGAATGCACCACATGTGGTTCCCTGCTGCAACTCTCTATGCTTTGATAGCCCTGTACAATGCTGCTTGAACTCCATGCCACAAGGCAACACTGTAAAGAAGCTGAAAGCAAAGAGAACACTGAAAGAGAATCATCCTGACCGACAGAGTCGAATTGCCAAGAAAAAGAAGTCTGTAGCCACTTTTCATAACGAAGGGAGGTTATCAGTGGCATTTGATAGAGCATACACTACAACTTATACAGATCAGTACGTTTTGAAAGTCCTCTAGAGAGGAATATGAGCAACAAACATACTAATGGCATACAAAATCAAAAGAGAATAAAAAATGAACAGCACAGCAGTGCTGAAGAGACTTATATCCCGTGACTGAGGAAAAAAATGGCAGATCAAGTTCAAATTTAAAAAGTGAAATGACACAACTAAAAGGGAGAAAGACAGACACTTGATTATGCAGACACAAAATAGGCTCCAAATTAGCCACTTTAAGATGAGACCATGGAGAGAGTGTTGATGATTTCTTAGAAATTAGTTCCATCCTCACAAAAGTGAGATAGTATGAACTGTTAGTAAAGGAGCTCTGAACACAAGATTTATCAATATGCCATCACATAAATTCATTAAGCAACCACACTCTGAATACCATATGAAGATCTCATAATTCAGTCTTAAAATTACAACTATAAAAAAAGATCAAAAAGACAAAATGAAGGAGTGCATAAAAGACTGTCTTCTCTTTTTTTAGGTTAGGAGATTAAGTATTAGGACCTTTTGTCTTGGAAATACCAAGAGGGAGATGTGACAAAGGTTGATTAAAAATCAAATCAAAACCCCCACACACCAAAAGCACTAGTGATTAATTATTTACTATTTCTGATAAAGCCATAAGCTAGACAGGACCCAATAAAATGATTAGATGGCAGTTTGGTGAGTTTCTTGGGTATATTCTGTTAAATTTTTCTGGCTCTGTGTGTGTGCTGTTGATTAAAAATATAAAATCAGCAGCAATTTTTTCTCCCAACAGAATGCTGTGCAGCTAAAACACCTGTGCATTAAAAAAATTATACGAATTCATTATCTACTCAGAGCAGATAAAAAGTATTAGTTTCCACATAATTGTAAAGGATGCAATCTGCAGATAAAAGCAAGGGCCTAATGTTTAGGTTTGTGGTGGGGTTTTTTGTGTTTTGTTTCTTAACTGCTGGAAACTGAAGTGTATGGATGGAACAATCCATCCCCATATATCATGCCTAATGAAAAGAATGTAATAAGCATTTGATAGGAGTTTGAGGCAGAAAAATGAACTGCATTTTTCTTCTTTCTGACACAGTGCAATGGAGCTTGCATCTATCCAAACATTTAAAACAATACACAATTTGAACATATCCTGCTATGGAAACAATCCAAGCAAAGTAGTATTCAAAACAAAATCTGTCATTCTGTAGTAAAACCTGTAAATAACTACAAGGTAATAGAGTAATAATTAGTATTGCAAACATGTTAATATCTATGTATTACAGCTTGAGAACAACTGCACACTCCAGGCTAAAGCTCAATGCCTCAAAGTGATGTTTACAATTTTTCTCCCCTCTTCCCTAGCTTTGTAGCTTGAACAGTATTACACTTTGCATCAAAGCATACACATAACAAGCCACAAGACATGACATTAAATATATGCATATTTACCAAGGCCAGGACACACCTACCACATCAGCAATTTGCATTTTTGCATCCTGATAATCTCACTTTGTTGTTTCTAAAGGTTTTAAACTCATGGTAAATAACTTACCTCATTCAATGCACACATGCGAGCAATAGAACCTATATTGTTGGTGATGGTGACCAAAGTAGCTCTGGCCAAGTCCTCTTTACTGATGGAATCTCTCTTTTCTTTACTCATCATATGACCAAAGCTGTGTGAGGAAGATCATGTCTTTTAACATGAGATATTCAGGAGTGATAAAAGACCTTAAAATTTTATCATTTAGCAACTTTTGCTAGATTTGATAACCTTTCCTTTGTGACAGATCTGAAATGTGAACAGGGATCTCATGCATCAGGCATTACTTACACCTATTTAAGAAAAAAGCACCAGAAGTAGGTGAGAGATCTAAGGACAAACCCCATGATACATTGAGTGACATTTCCACATGGACACAGTGCATAGTCCAGGGATTATGCACTCAGTTTAGCATGCACAGGAAGTTTCCCAAGGGACTGCTTACAAACAGCTTGATTAACACATACCTTGATGCTACAGCAGATCCTTGAAGGCCAAACCGCTCATAGTCTCCTCCATAGATATCTTTCACCAGCTTATCCACATTGGTGCTGTCTCCTTTTGCGGCCATTTCCAGCGCTTCCTCAAATGTCTCACAGCCAGTGAGCAAACAGCACAGGCCCAGGAATGTTCCTCCTCCAAGGCTAGAAAAGTACAGACCCTTCAGACCAGCAGATTGAACCAGCTTTTACCACAACCCTCCAGACTGCCATTTACAATGTGCTGCATGCAGGTGCCAACTGTATCTCACAACTCCTCCCTCAGATGAGTGAGCACAGACACTCTGTGCTGAGTTCCTATTTAACACAAGTGTCATCCCATGTGGTTTTAACTGAACTAGACTTGAGTCTTTAATCCTTAAAAAGGAGAAATTATAATAAAGGGTCAGCTAAGAATAAGGTCCAATCCAACACCACAGATACCACTTCACTATTTGTAGCACTCTAACAAGTTTTCTGCACAAGAATAATTAGCCAGCAGAACACTCAAGTGAGTGAGGAAAGAATGAACAGTGAACAAAGGTAAATCTACAAGGGATGGCAGCCAAGACAGATCTTGTCCCCCTAGCCAATGGCAGGAAGCAGTCTGGTTGGCTCCTTTTCAAAGCAAGCCTAGCATCAGCCCTGAATGTTCTTTCTCTGCAAGAATTCTAAGCAAGGAGCACTCACTTGAATATTTTGTAAAAGTTCAACTACAGTATTTACTGACTACATAAATTTAGCAGGGAGTATTTAACTGTGCATAACGTGTTGCTAACTCATTGAAGTTCTACTTTGGACTTTTCAGTCTTACAGACATGAGCTTCAATTTACTAATCTCTACATCCTTCCTCATTCTTTCTTGGCCACTGACAAAGTTAGCTTATTTGCACTGACAACAGTCACAGCAACTGGAGCCACTGAAAACAAGGTGATCAGTGAGACACCACATTTGTACTTCATGAAAAGACACAGGAGGTCAGATAGGAACATTATTTAGTCCGTGCTCTTGGATTATTGGGTTTTTCAGAACACATCTCATAGCAGTGTAATATACTCAGTATCTGAACAGTAGAAAACTCTGCAAACCAGCCACAAGACAGTATTGATTTCATCATCTATAATGAGTCAACACAGTGGTCATGTTTTTTCTTCCATAGTGGAAAGGATTAGAAGCACATCTACCAAAGATGCCAAAATCTCTGTGCTTGAAGAAGACTCTGAACTGCAGGAAATCCAATGCCTCCCACTGAACTTGTGTCCTTCTGTACTGCAGATAAAGAAATGGCTCGTGGCTACCCTTGTGGCAAAGGCATGCACTAGGCTAAGGCAACAGAAATATATATATACATGTCATGTGCATTATACAGGAGAAACTTTAATATGTACCATGCACCAAACAACGGAATGCAGGGGAGAGAAGATTCACTTACTGCAACAGTTTTATTTTGGTAATTCACAGCAAGAGATGGGAAATAGGTAAGAACACCAACAAGAGACTAAGGCAGATCTAAAGTAGAACATATCAATGTTTTCCCTGACATAGATACCCTCTCTGAAGGTATACTAGGATATTTTCAGCCTTGCTACTGGTACCTTCTAAAAGAAATGGGAATACATCCACAATTTGGAACTGTAGCTACTGATCACACTCTCTAATTCTACCCGTTGTGAAGGAGAAAAGAAAACAATTTAAAGAAACAAAAGTAAATTTACCTGGATCCTGTCACTCTTTTATAATTGTCCTTAGAATAGACAGCTAGGATGCTGACCCCTGAGCCTATGTTAACCAGCAGCATAGGATATGGATTATCAAGGCAGTAAGGCTTTTTCTGGCACTGTTCAGGATCTGTAGGATTTTCAAAATAATAGCACTCTGGTTGGCCATTGAAACCAACAGAATCAACATAAAGGAGACCCTGGATCAAACAGTCCAATTCATCCAGTTTATAGAGCTGTAGATCAGCCATCTGTAAAAGAATAACAAGAAATTAAGAAACACACATTTCCTAGGATAATACAACACTGAGAAGGACAAAAGGCTCCACTGAAGCACAGATCACTTGAATAGTAACACATTATGCTGTTTAAGCAGTACAAAGATCTAAGCACGTAAGCAGTACAAAGATCTAAGCATGTAAGCAGTACAAAGATCTAAGCATGAAGTCTGAAATAAAAATTCACTATCTGTCTGACAACAGGTACCTCCCAAAACAGTGATGTGCTACATTACATTACATGCAGTAATGCCATCTAGTCCCTTTGCCTTTGAGATATTCTGGGCTCTGCAGGCAGGAATTTCTGCCCAGTATTCTGACACAATAAATGTCTTTCCCTTCATTCCCAGCCCAAGAGGAACTGTGTTCTGCAGCTTTTGGGCAGTATCAGACATATGCCTACACAGCAGAATTCCTCAGGATACAAAGTACTTTAGCTCATCATCCAACTAGATTTCCCAGCAATTAAATGAAATTTTCAATAGAAGCATTAAGATGTGCATGTTATGTTAATATGCATTAAATATACAGTGGATTTTTTTTAGTATATATCAGTAGTTATTCTTGTTATTTTTTTAAATTACAATGAGCACTTTAAAATGCCTCATCAAAAACAGAGGAATAACATAACCCCTATATTTGGTGAAAAACTATATAAAAAATCCAAACAAAAAGATTGTCCGGCCCATGCCCCCAGCAGAATATAACTTAAAGAGAAGGCAGACAACCAGTAACAAAAGCTGACAAAAGACATTCCCTCTGAGATCTCGCAGGTCACCATGACTGTACTTCAACAGACATGTCTACTTGCCATAGTATTCTACTCACTTGAATGAGAAGTAACATCCTTTCTCATAACAGGACACACTGACCAACTGTAGAAAGTCTCCTTTCCATTTTTATGTAGAGGAGAGGGCAAAAAAGACCTGTAAAGTTGCCCATCCAAATCCTGAGGTCATTTTCATCCTCAAGCATGCAAAGCAGGTCATGCCTAACTCTACTTTCCAGCAAAAAAAAAAAAAAAAACAAAAAACAAAGTAACAGAGTATAATGGAGTTACACAGTACACAGCTGGTTCTCCAGCATTTGCATACTGCAGGATGTTTTTATAATGGCTAATGGAGAAGGTTTACACGGGTAACTATGTCCTATTTTTAATTCTGGAAGCTATATTAAGGCACTATAAACAGGGAAGATATTTCTGTAGAACAGGCATGGTCAATAGGTTACATTCTTTTAAGCTATTTAAATCATCCCTGCTCAGTCTTTACTCTTCTTGTACACAGCTCTAACTTGCTGTAAGTGAAAGCTATCCCACTGTTTGGGTCTGTCCTTTTGTTTTACTTGCCACTCCTCAAATCCCATAACCAGGGAAAAGAAGTAATACCAAAAGGACCAAACCAGCAGTCTCAAGGACCTTAAGAGAGATTCAGTTATTCACAGGACAAGCAAGAGAGGTGGAAATCATTTCCTCTTGTTTCTGTATTTCCTCCTGCAACTTCTGCAATTCCCTCTTTTTTTTTTTTTTTTTATTACCACATTGCTACACAAATTAAAGAAATGCAGCATAAAAGACTTGAACCATTTAGCTACCAAATATGAAGAATAAGCATAATTTGTGAGAAAATGATTTCTTAAGGCTACTTCACAAATATCTTGGATTTAATTGATTTCTAACTATTAGACCAAGAGGAAAAGCTCCAAGATACACACAAGACAAGGTATGGTGCAAGGTATCAACCTTCGTGCACTTTATCACAATCAACATTGCATGGAGTCCACTAAGTCATCACTCCTTACAGGATTTACTTAGTTCAATAAACATTGCACATACCTGGATGACATAGGGAAATATTCTGTACTACCCAAGATCTTCCCCCAGGTTATGTGTTGCAGCGTCAGTTTCCTCACCTCAGTGTGTAAGTTGGACACAGCATGACCAAACACAATCTAACACAGATGCACAAATGTGCTGTGAACCAGAAGCTCTTGTACAAAGATGAGTCATTAGCAGGTTTATGGCCCCTACTGTCCAAACCTCTATTCTAATGTAAGCCAAATACCCAGCCACAAGCTGCTTTTGCCTGATCCATGTTACACTTTTACAAACAGGTAAGCACTAGCCAGAGACCTTGCAAGACATAAACAAGTAATACAAATCAGAGTAGAACACTTCTGACATCAGTACAAAACCACAGACAAACCCATTTATTCTACAAACTCACCTCACCAATTCTGTAAGAACAAAACAAGAGAAACTAATCAGGTTCTTTCTCAAGCATTACACATAGAGGTTTTATTAGGTTCAGCCCTCAATGTATAAAAGGCACACTGAATTTTGTTCTGCTTTTTATAGCTCTGTGCTGTATTTAACAGTTTATATACTATAAGCAGAAAGTCCTGTTACTGCTTTCTTGTGGAGGCAGGTTAGCCTGCCAAGGCTTTCCCTTGGAAGAATGTGCCTTGAGGAAGCTGTGATAAGCTTATCTCAAGCCTCTCCTGGAGAGATAGCCCTTAGATGGCACCATCCTCTCTTGTCATAGTGAGCTATCCCACCATGCTTTGGTGACTACGTTGATCCCATTGGTTTTCCCCCCAGTACCACCCTGTCTTTCCTCCATAAAAGCCCCAGTTTCTGCCCAGTTCAGCAGGGAGCTGCTGTCCCTGGCTACCCTTCACAGAGCCACTGGACAACAAAGGCTGTCTCTGTGGAATCGCCACACGACGCTCCTGTCTCTCTGTCTCTGAGTAAGCCTGGGATAACCTCACAAGCAGAGCTGAAATCACTGAGCTGAAATCACTTGCAGCCACAGGCTGCCCCTTGCTGAGGTTACCCGGTGGCCAGGGATTGCCGTCTCTTGCGGGACTGCTCTCTCTGGGAAAGTCCTGGCATCCCAGGTCAGACCAACAGACCTGGCCTGGCCACCACACTTCCTTTCCTGTATGATATTCACAGCAGATTGAAAAACTATTTTCCTGTGTCATTGCAGCAGTCTGGTTTTGATTTTTGGAATAATCAAGATAGGTATCAGCATGCTATGTCAATCCACCTTCCTTCAGAGAACCAAAAGTTCTGCAGCCACCACGTACCCAAGACTCCAAATAGCTTACTGAGCCACCACTGTTCTCATTTCTAAACAGAAAGTAGGGCAAAGCTTCAAGAAATGTAGTAACTCAATCTTGTACAGGAAGCCAGGATAGAGCCACAGTCACAATTCAGTCCCCTTCCCTGCATATACTACTGTTACTTTGCTCACAATGTCTCAAAGCAGCAAAACTGCATTGCACAATAGATTTACCTGTAACCATTGTAACTAATTTACAAGTAGGCAATCATTTCTTCTGCTGTCATCACCTGACCTACCACACTCTAGTCACCCTCAACCTTCAGCTGCTCAAACCTCTTCTCCTTAGAGGAACCAAAGTTTATGTGCAAATATGCATAACAAAAATGGAAGCTGTGTCTAGAAGCAAATTTTAATTGGATGTTTCTCCTACAATGATTACAAAATGCATTTGTAGGTATTTTTCAGCTCTTTACAATTCCTGTCGTGAAGGCAGACACCAAAATGGTCGACTTACCCTACTCTGCACTCCTGTGACTATATTCAGCACAGTGCCTCTCTACAGGTTATGTCAGAAAGTTGTGCTATGAGAAAAACAACTGCAGAACAAAGTAGTATACAGGACCCTGGAGGGAAAATTTATGATTACAGGGAAACCACACGTATGTTTTTTTTAAAGCAAACATTTTATGCATTAGAGCCAGACTGTAGCTATTCCTCTTTTCTTTAAGACTGCTTTTTAAATACTGGGGGAGGGAACAAAACACTTCAGATCTCAAGAAACTCTCCAGGACCATCAAAAGGAGTGACTTAGGACTTCAACCATGCTTGCAAGCAGGTGCAACACACCAAGGGAATGAAGCCAACATTTCCACCATGACATTAGCAACAAAGTCCTGAAACACAGCTGGTTTCAAGGATACAAAGTCTGCTGTTACTTCATACAGATGCTATTCCAAGAAGAATGAAAGAACATCTCTTGTACTCTTGCAAAAAGTGCTGGAAAATTGTGTTACCTGTTGACATTTAGACCTAGATTTCTTTGTTGTTTCTCTTGTTTCTTGTTGTTTGTTTGGTTTTTTTTAAAATAGTGTGCATAACATTAAAAAAAATTAGCTGCATTCAAATACCAAGCAGTATAAAAAGAAAAAACATGGTACCACCTTGCTTCTGCTTTCAAGTAAGGAAGCACATAAATCAAAGACTTGGGTCCCATTTGTTTTTTATTATGGGTGAGCAAATACTTCCACTTCAGCAAGGTTTCACCCAGTCCTCTATAAGTGAGCTGAGGGTAACCATGTCATATATGCACTAGGGTTAAAGTCTAAGGCATCACCACTGGTGTGCAGACATATTTTCAATGAAGCTCCAGCTCATGAAACATTTCAACCACTTCTACTGTATTCTGGTGAACACAAGGAAGTCTGAACCTACATGCAATTGCAAGTTCATTTTTCACTTGGACTTCCAATGAGAAATATTTTTTTCTGTAAAAAACTGTTAGGAACATAACATCTTGCAAGTTTTTAATTATCAGTTACAATAGCCTCATATCACTCTGACTTCTATGTCTGCTGGGCATTGCTCCAGTTTTTATTTCTTAGAATAGCTTACAATCTAGCTTTTCCTTCCATCTCTCTCCCATCACCTCTCCTCTATTTTCATAAAGACTTTGCTTTCTTTATATTTTGATTATCTTCATTTCAACCCCCACCCCTTCTACTTTATGGAGCTGAAAATAACCATTCACATTCAAACAAGACAAAATCTAATGCAAATAAACTGCAAGTCCAACATTCACTGAGGCGGAAGATTCATTCCATATCAGCTTTGGGCAAAAAAAGCACTCATCAGGAATCCTGTGCAGAGCTCTGCCCTCTTGCACAGCGAGCCTCAAGGATCTCTTCCCTCTTGGAAGGGAAGAGATGAACATTGTTTCTCCCTATTCCCTCTAAAGAGGTTACTTTACCAATTCTCTGGATGCTGCTTTCAACTCCAGCCCAGCCCCTTGCCTTCAGCCTCCTCAGCAAGATGATTTTTGAGTGTCTCATACTAACTGTGAAAGAGTTACACAGCTTACTCACCCTACAACACAGGACAGTGAGTTTATTTGTTTTAAGATGAACACAGTCCATAAGTCATCCTCAGGCATTCAGTTCATACCATGAAGTCAAGCCTCAGAATTAGCTAATTACTGGCACTATCCAACAGCCAAGCTCACTTTCAAAGCATTTTCTTTTAAGGGAAGTCAAGGCCACAGTTTGAGTCTGTGTTGGTAAGATATTTCTTCCCCTGTCCCAAATGTTCTGGTGATTGGGGGTTTTTAGCACAGATGCTGCTCCCACTGACGACAGGAGTAAAATTTCTATTAAGACAAGGCAGGTTCTGCAGCTGTCTGTTCAGGAAAGGAATACAGAAATCCCACCTTTGAGGCACTGCAATCAACAGAAATTTTATAATAGAGCAGGTTTTAATCAAAAGTCTGAATATTCCTTCCTTCTCTCATCCTGCCCATCCTTTACATTGAGTTGCTTTACAAAACTGAATGGCTGCCTAAAAATTTATTCCTCATTACATTAGCAGCAAACTTCTGTGCAAGTAATGTTCCTGTGCCATCATGGAGGAGTCACAGCACAGAGAGATTCATCTCACAACCAAGTCTAAGTACTCCTTACTTTTACAGAAGTGGTTACTTGAGCATTAGAATGTGAAGTGACAGTACATAGTTGGGGAAAGGAAGAAGGCTAATCAGAATCAGGCTGCAGATTCATCCATGCCTTAATACCATTGTTACCTGAAAATAAAGACAGCCAGCCATAAAGACCATTCAGAGAGGAAATAAAAAAAGAACAAAAACGCAAGTAAAAAACCCCTAGGCTGGAAACAGTCCTTTTGGTGAATTACTTACTGATGTGCTCTTCAATGAACATTAAGTATAACAATATGATTGTTAAAATTATTTCTGTGGTCTAGTTTAATGAATAGAGTCAATTTTCCTACTTCCAGAGGAAGCACTCAGATCTTCAGAATGAGTCACATGATTTGCCAAGCTACCGACTGACAAAAGATCCAACATACTGCCAGCAATCAGCATGCAGACCACAGAGACTTCTTCAGGTATCCAACTCTCCAACACCGCAGATCCTATGAGGGAGGTGAAATAGCTAAACCTAGGTAGCTTTGTAGATTTAGTTGCCTTTTTATAGAAAAAAAAAAAAAAGCCAGTCTTAAGGTAAACAGACTATGTCTCACCATTTTATATTATTTTTGTTAAAATACACAAAAGCAACATAGACATCTAGATCAAACTTATTTAACTCATTTAGGGATTCAGAACCAATGCAACAGAGGCAAGTAACAATGGTATTTGCCTCTCTATTTTAAGGAGGAAAAGCTTCTGTAATCTTAGAGGGCTTCCTTCCTTGGGATTTGAATGTTATTTTGCAATATATTGGATCTTTTGTCGTAAATCTATGCAATCTTGCAGTCACATTGAGAAACACTAGGAAAGACAAGTAACTTAAAAGCATATACACAGGAAAGTAAAGGGCCAAAACAAAAGTAAGTTAGCTAGAGTTTACTAGCATTTAGCTAGAATTTTTTATTGAAAGTAACTTTACAAACATACCTTAGTTTCTCTACACTTCTTCTAAGTAACAAACAGGAAGATTTAAAGTCTCCTCCATATAAAGCATTTTACAATACTGAATCCTGTGATAGCAAGATCTAGACCTGGCACATATTCTTTGCTTCTAGAGGTGCATTAGTGCTCAAATACTTGAAACAAGTATTTCTGAGCTTTGACAGAGCAGTCCTGAAGCTGTTGCCCAGTGACAATTTATACACAGCAGAATTCACTGAGAGGCAGCTGCTGTTACCATGGCTAATGAAGTGTGACAATTTAAGTGCCAGTACCCAGAACACTCTGCCCTTTGAGAGAGATTAAGCAAGCAAACTTCCATGTAATAGATAATATTCTGCTTCTGTGATTCTCTATGGATATTCCAGTTTGAGCCAAGAAAAACTTGCTATAAAGGAAGGTATGGAACTGGATATCTGTAAGAAGTGTCCAAGCACTCATTTTAGTGGGAGTGCACTGATTGCTTTATGCTAGAAAACTCCCCAGCCAGCCTTTAGAGGGTTTGTCTTAAACTACCTACAAGTGTTGTAGCACACAGGATATTAACAAGACCACAGAAATGTGGAATTTCATGCCTAAGTCCACTGGTCATTTGTTATGTGACCTCTTATTTGTGTTCAACAGCTGGCAAACTCCTCCAGCTATGTCTTCCCCTGCTATAGTGACTATATTGCAGCTGAGACAAGACTGATCCCTCACCATAGATTGCGTATTTACAGCCTGTAAGGCCAAAGCTACAAAGAGAAATGATCAGCTGTGAGAGCCACCTTTGAGAGGTACCTTTCAGTTCAGTTCTACAGCTGTGGGAGCGAGGGACATGAACTTCCTTACTAAGCAACTGCAGCTGTTATCACATGATGCAGGAAGAATGAATTTGGAGAGACTGACCATTCCAAGGGGATAGTCAGCCTCTTCCAAAAGTACTGAAGTGAACTCCCATTGTCACTAAAGAATGTGGCCTGAATCATACCCAGGACACATGAAAAGATACTCAGAAACACCTAAACTGCAGCCACACTGACTACAACTGCAACTCACCTCCTACTGTGGTGCCAACATCCTTACACAATGCAAGGCAAACAGGTTTTTGAGGACTTAGTCATCAGTAGACTCTAACTTGTAAGGGACTTGCAATCAACCTAAAAGACAAGAAATCTAGCACTAGTGATGGACTACTACACCAATTCAGAAACTTGATAATCCTTCCTTGGACATGGAAACAGTCTAATATTCACTGAAAGTGACTGCACAACAGCCTAACAGTTGGAATTTGTGTTGAGCTCTTACAGCATTCTTTTTCCCCCTCAGAATCCCGGTCATCTGGTATGCGAGGATATTGATGACAGAAGGGTATTGACAAAGAAAAAAACCTCTTGTACAGCAGGAATAGATGTTTGGAGTTAAAAATGAAGCACATAGAGCCAAGGACTACAGTCAACAGCAGTAGGTCATTCAATATGAGAGCTCCCTGGACTGACACAGAGACAGAAAAGCAGCTGTAACCTGTCATACCCAGTAGCCATCCCTCAGCCTCAAGATCAGGTCAAAAGTTAGGGACAGAAGTGCCAGACCCACCAGTCAAGTAAATAATTCACATTATTCATAGTGACAATGTTCTGGGACAATCAGATTAGTCTCTTTTCCTCAGAAAATAAATGAAGGTATGTCCCAATACAGATGGATACACAACAGACGACTGCCTCCCAAATGCTTTTTCTCTTCAACATAGTTTGTACAACAGATCTTCCATGCTTCTGCACCATAGTCAATCTTTGAAGAGTACTCTAGTGAAAAACTTTATGTTTACATCAGCTTCTGGAGTTCCCTGCAAAGGCTATTTTTAAATCCTTGGGGATCTGGGACTTATTCATCTCATAAAATGGCACACTCACAGAATTGAAATCGAAAGCTAGCTGGTTTTATTATGCTCCCACACACTGTTTCTGCCCCATGCTCCATGGTTGATCTTCCAGACTCTTGACCAGTCTGAAAGTTAATACAAAGGGAAGGGAACATGAATCAATCTCCAGCCTGTATGGTCTCATATCTGGTTTCCAATAGACAACCAGTTTGCAAGTACCTATAGTATCAGGCTTCTAGGTTGTCATAACATACCCTCAGTTGATTATGAAGTATCTGATCATCACAGCTGTGCTCTAAAAAAACTCCACATTTACTAACAACATCCTGAACTGCAACACTTCAGTAGAATACCCTTCCCTGCCCTCTCCATGTTCTCAGATATGTCACCAGCTAACAAATATGAATTGATTCTATTGCTCCTAAACAGTTAGGATGGACTAAAAAAAGTTATTTTCCCAGCAAGTTTTAATAGATGGGCTCTCATGATGTTTTCCCAAAGTACTTCCCACTGAACCCATGTGAATTGTTCACGTACCGTTCTAAAGTCTTCTTCAAACTTGTAAGCTCCACCTCCCGTGGCACAGAGCGTGGTGTGCAAACTGGAGAAGTTCTTCTCACTACCCATCTGTATGAACCTGTGCATGGCACAGCTGGGAAAGCGGATGAAGTGCAGGTTTCCTTTGCGTCCACACATTGTCAAATTTTTCAGTTCCAGGTGAACATCGCGAATGCCAGTTTTACCATAGGCTGTATTTGAGGTCAAATATTTCCTAATGCTTTTCAGGTTTTCTACCTCCTCCTGTTCTTCCTCTGCAGTAATGTCCTTAGGTTCAAAGTAGACCAGTTTAACCAACGTTCCACCAATATCCATTCCAAACCATGGGAATGCTAAGAACAAGGGGTTTAGGGAGGAAAAAAGAGAAAGTCACGATAAATATACAAGCTAGACAAATCACTTAAATAATTTGCTGAATGACAATTCAGTGCAGGCACAGTGGTAGTATCTACTCCTGAGAATTTGGGGTCACTTGCACCCAATTTATATGCTTTAAACACATCTCTAGGTTAAGCCTTCATAAGGCTCTCAGTTAAGAAAAATAATAAAGAATATTTCAAAATATTATTGTCTGAAGAAGCAGGTTTTAATAAAATGAAAACATTTTTTCCCAGGAAATAATTTTACTCTTCAGTTACCACCTCTTGACAGAGCACATTTACTGCATTTCTCCCAGTCAGCACCAATGGGTGGGAAATGAAATGAAATTGTGTTTCACCCAACTGGCTCCAATTCTGCTAAGAATTAAGGCGACGAGGAGGAGGAAGAAACAACCAAACAAACAGGAGAACAAGATTTCTCAAGTCATATTTCCACTGTGTAACATTTACAATTGCCTTTCCAAGCTCAGTCAGCTTTTTTCCAAGCTTTCCACGGTCACAAGGCTGTCTCTGAAGTGCAGCAATACAGAGCTCCCATTATGCAGGAGGCCTCCAGACTCCAACCCACCAGAACCAGGAGCTTTGTTGACTGCAGTACTTGTATATAGTAGCCAAAAGTGAGTTGGCTTATGTTTAGTATTTACCACTGACAGACCCATCCCTTGAGTGTAGACTCCCTTTGCTGGTATATGTGTTAGTCTATCACGTAATTATATAAAAAATGCCACTATTTGCTTCTCAGCTTGCCACAGCTGGCCTAGGTCCTCCAAAATCTTTGTTTTATTAATAGCAGGAGAAAATAACTATGGAGAAAACCCATCAGAAGACCTGAATAAGCTGGTCTACCTGCTCCACTTATAAATATATACACATATATATATTAAATAGTATGCCAGGTAAGTTTATGAAGCAGTAAGAATTGAGAATAGAAAATCTATACACAGGCATTGTAGATGGAGGGAGCTAGCAACGTTTCTTAGAAAAATTAAAAGTACTGAGTATATATGATTAACATCTAAGACACACTTCGAAAATAGCAGTCACACAGTCATCTTCCTGCTTTTTAGGGAGGATCAGGCGGACTTGCTAGAAAAATGATTCTACCAACTAGGGCATCTCAACTTGGTGTTAATACAAACTTGAAACCATAAATACCATATGCATAGCTGATTTTTCTGCCAGTGAACCTAAAAATAAACAACTTGGGGCAAACACTTTAATAAGCATAGGAGGTACTTATCACACTGTCCTTCCTCATGTGATCACAGATCACTATTAAGTTACTCAGTTTCAAGCTGAAAGAGGCTAAGTCTTTTTTTCTTATCACAAATGTCTCAGCATCATCTGGCTGAATAATTTGTCTAAATTCCCCAATTTTTAATATGCTCCCCCTGCCCAAACCAATCCTTAAATGTCAGATATTTAAACCAGTTATTTCACTCCATTGCTGTATGCCAAGTAATTGAATCATCGGTTTCTCCTCCCAGGCCCCCACGGACAAGGCAGGCATAATGCATACACTGCAATGAAGTTATGGTTATCTGTTGTAAGGTCTGATTTGATTTTTTTTTTTCCATGCTGTACAAGCTGCATAAAGACAGTGAAATTAAGTCTAATTTGAGGTTTGGGAAAATACATAATCGTATGCAGATACATGAGAATTCCCCTAAATGGGAAGAATTCAAAACAAGTGTTTCTAAAACAGGCTTTATTTTAAAGAAGAAAAATATGTTATAGACTAACAGACACTCTTGAAAGTACAAGGTAAATATTTATGTGAAAGCTGTTTGGTCCATACTGCACAACATTCCAATGCAGTGGAGCTGAGGATGCCAGTCCCATTAGTGATTTACAAAAATCTTTATTAAAGCTACTGAGAACTTTAATTACCTGACCCACTGGAACAGTTAAGTCTCCTCCTCAGATGTATACTATATGAAAGCAGGAAGTTCTATTTTAAAAGCAGCATGGTTGAACTATGCAACACAGAACCAGCCTGTAGCTAAGTATAAGCCAATTTCTACTGTTTTTCATTAAGGGCATAAAACCTGCTACACTTTACCTGCACCAACATTAGTTATAAAGCCATAGTGCAGATTTCACCTTTGAGAGAGGCAAGAAGTGTTCCATCCTCCTATCAAACACAAGCCCAGCAATAAAAGTGTTAAAGTAAGCACTAACAGCTGAGAGTTATTCATAAATGACTGCCAAGACATTTCATTTTGTATCTTAACATTTTAAGGAGTTATAACCAAATAACAGAATAAGTACTGCAGAAAACAACTATGAAGTTTCTTCAAGTCTGCATAGTTCTTGGGATAGCTACACATAATGCTCGCATTTATAAAGTGAGCAGAAATACCAGGACACTTTTTTTTTAGTTAATTCTCTCTGTGACTCTAAGTTCCTTTCATTTTGTTGTGAGCCAAATGGACTGCTGCAGAAAGAAAGGAACTTTGCTTTTAGAACACCAGCAGTTTTCTTCAGCACAAATAAAGAGCCCAAGATCAGACAACAAAACCAGGTATTTCAGTTATGCAGAAAAACAACTTAGTTTTCTTCTCAACTTCTAACACCAACTCTCTGTTGGAATTACTTGCAATAATTCAACAACCATCTTGACTGGTTGACCACTTAGGAAAAAAAACAAGTCTCCAAGTTTCCAACTGAAATTCATATAACTTAGGCACAACTGCAGTGTGAGTAAAAACACTTCTGTATTCCAGTGATCATTTTAAAATGTATTAATTGTATCCTTTGTTACTATCAGTATGTTCCAAATCAAAATGCACTGCTGACCCATCATCAGTTCTTTTCTGCATCTATATATAATTAATCTCAGCTGGTATCTATATACTTCAGCTTTCCTGGGGCCACTGAATGTGGTGCTAATGGCAATACACACACAGACTGAAGGTGCTCCTGGGGTTTGCTGCCCCTGTGAATACAGAGAGTAAAATGATTCAGAGGCCATCAAAACTAATAGAGCCTGCCCACTACTACAGCCAGGGGGAATGAAAGAAAGGTGTTTGTGTAGATAAGTTTTTCACAGACTTGAGGGAAAATGGGAAGAAAATTGTGGAGGTTTGGGTTTTTATGTTTGGTATGTTTTTTTGGTTTGTGGGTTGTTGTTTGGGTTGGTTTGTTGGGGTTACTGATAGTAACAAAGGATA